CCCCAAAACCCCAAAACCCCAAAACCCCAAAACCCCATTCGAAATCTTAAAATTAAATTTATAATTTGAAAATATTGCGGCTTTTGATCATGAACAGCAAGATGAAGAAAGGTAAGAGCCCGAAAGGGCCAGTAACCAAGGAAGTGTTCCCACATGAAATGGAGAGGAAGAAAGTCACAGGAAGTCTTAAGAAAAAGCCACCCTCCTCTTATGGTGCTAGGAAGGGAGATAGTGCAGTTAAAGGATCAGAGTCTTCATTCATGGCAACAGGGACGACTGTGAAAGGAACACCGAAAACTAAGGGTACGAAGAAGACTCCATTGAAGGCTAAGGAAAATTTAAGCACCAACAGATTCAAATCTGGTATTCTTAGTAAAAGTAAGAAAATGAAGGTCAGGACTGATAGAGAAATGATGAAATTGCATAATAAGTCAGCCTCTATTATTCAAAGATGGTGGAGGAAGATCTTACAAGAAAGAAACCAACTACGCCAAAAGTTGATAATTGCTAAACAAGCACTTAATGAGCTGAATTCTAAAAGAATGGAGAGGAAAAGTCTGAAGGAATCTAGTGTCGAATATTCCTCCCCAGCAAAACTTGAAGCTGATGCTCAACCAACTGGAGATGCCCCAAATCATGAAGGTCTGACCACTGCTTGTTTTGGAAAATTCAATTTGAAAGCTGAGAAATCTGCTAATTCAAGGTAAATTTTCTTAATTTTATATTTTAGCTCATCAAAATCTCCTGTTAAGGAAACTCCAAGAAGTAATGTAGAAAATATGGAATCTGACACATATTCTGGCTGTAAAGAGAACAAATTAGAAGACTTATCAAATTTGTTAAGAACCAATCCGGATTTGCTAGGAGTCACTGATCCTACTGAGGATGACCAGATCGAAGAAATGCTTCAGAAAGTAAGACAGGATGCTGATGAGAGCTTCTCACAGAAATATGAACCCACAGCTACTGACCCTAGAGTATTAGCAGCTTTGGAGGAAGACCTCGCTGCTATTCAGAAATACGGAGATTTGAATTTCTCTAAGCCTTCCAAACTTGAAAATGTCGAGGAAGTCACTCCCAATATTGAAAAGAACCAAGAGCTGATTAAAACCGAACGTCTGAGTGAAGTAAGAGCTTCTATTGAGAAGGAAGAGACACCAGAGCCAGTCCAGTTGAGAAAATCTAAGTCTGAGCAAGAAAATTCTCCTAAACCAGAGAAAGAAGATGAGCCAAGTGAGGGATCGTTCAATGAGTACTCACTACAGAACGAAATCAATGCATTGGCTCAAAATCTAGAAGCTTCTATTAGTAGAAAATTTAAAGAAGAAGAGAAGGACTACACTGAGAAGAAAATTTCTGATCAGAGAGAAGAGAACGCTATTACTGAAACTTGAGATAAGACTGCAGAGAAAGTTCCAGTAGAAGAGCAGAAGGAAGTTAAAAACCCTCGTCCCTTAGAGGAGACACCTTCAGTAAAGCTTCATGACGAAACTACAGAACTAGACTACCATAAGAAGTCTGAAATAGAGTTTGAAGCTAGCTCTCCTGTGAAATCTGCCATTCTAGTAGACGATAATATTGACGAGAGTGCTAAGAAGAGTAAATCTAACTTCTTAGACTTCCTTGACACAATTGAGGAGAGGAGTAATTATGATGTAAAATCCAGGCATGAAAAATCTCCAAAGAACTCTTCACCAAAGTCAAACTTAGATAAACTACTAAAAATGGAGGAGAAATTAGGGACTCCTTCGTTCAATGGGAATCCTGAGGAGAGATCGCACTTGGTATCCCTCGAGACTGAGTTAATGGAGTGATACAAGACTATCAAAGCTCTCAAGGAGGCAAAGATAAACCAGGATCTCAAACACACTGAGGAACTCAAAAAGCTTGAAAAAGAATGTAAGAAGGACCTTAAGAAGGAAAAGAAGCTCTTTGAACAAGAAAAGGAGAAACATCTAGTCTATGTAGATGAACTTATCCATCAAAAATCTCAGTTAGTTGAGAGACTAGAGCAATGTGACCAGGATAAGGTCAATAACGATGAGATCCTTCAGAAGCGAGAGAAGGAGCTACAGGAGAGATACCGTATAGAAATAGCCAAGAACAAGGAAAAATGGATGGCTGGTGAAAAAGTCCGCAGAGAAAAGTGGATGAAGGAGAAAACTGAAGAAATTAAGCAAAGCAGCATCAAAGGACTCGAACCTCAGCTGCAGCTAATGATAACTAACCACAAAAAGCAACTAAAGAGGGAAAAAGAACGCTACCTAGAAGAAATCTCTGAAGAAAAAGTCAGACTGGCAGAAGAATATGAGGAAAAACTTAAAGATTTCAAGGCAAAAATCCTTCATGATAAGGACTACGAGCTTGAAAGGATGAAAACAAGGTACGAAGAGAAGGAATCCCATAACTACGACAGAATAGAAGCTCAGTTCAATAAAGAAAGAGATCGTTGGGCTGAAAATATGAAAGCAGAGACCGAAAGAATCGAAAGCTTCAGAAAGCGGGACCAGGAGATCCAGAAGGAGGAAATCATCTCCATCAAGAAACAGCATCAGGAGGAACTGCTTTCTCTTAAGAAGTTCTATGACGAGAAATTTAACAAACAGGATAACTCACATAGTGAAGAGATTCTTGAGCTGAGACAAAAGCTGCGTGAGGAATACAACCAATGGAAAGAAGAGTTCCTACAGAAGCAGAAAGATGAACTCAGAGAGAAGATGAAAGAAATGAGAGACCAGGTTAAAAGAGAGCGTAACGAAGAAGTCAACGTCATTGTCGAGAAGTTATCCAGCGAAGCTTACACACAAGAGAAAGCTCTGATCACTAAATATGAGAGAAAAGAGAAAGAAATCGAGAACAAATACAGAACTGAGATCCTTGATCTTAAAGACCGTGTCGAGACTTTAGTCACAAAGAATGAGACCGAGAAGAGGTCTAAAGAGATGCTGAGTGAAAATATGGATGTCCTAAATGAGAGAATGAACCTGAATGACAAGGAAATTATTGAGAAGAACGGAATGATTGAGAGCCTGAGAGAAACTGTCAAGAGCCTTACCAATAAACTGAACAATCTTCAATCTGAGGAGGAAAGAAAAAGAGGAAATTTTGAAAGAGATGAAGCTGCGAAGAGAAGCCATCTCCAGAAAGAAATAACCTATCTTAAAGATGAACTAGAGAGGCAGAAGCTTTTGGTCAAGGCTGAGAGCGATAAGCTCAAGAGAGTAAATGAAGCTGAACTAGAGGCAATTGAAGAAAAGGTTAAGAGAGTTTTAGCAAAGAAGGAAGAGACCATTGAGCATTTGAAGGAAGAAGTTGCTGTAAAACAGACGCAAATGCTTAAATACAAGGAATTATTGGATAAGCAAAGACTAGACTTTATCTAATAAATCAATTTCAGAATGAGTCTGAGGGGTTTTGGGGTTTTGGGGTTTTGGGGTTTTGGGG